GGAGGTGGGCCCCGCTTGGTTGGGGGGCTGTACACGCGCGTCCCCCGCCCTCCAACCTCCGCTCCAGCGTCCACGAGATACGGAGCACGCGAGTGTACGTACTACGTACGTACGTACGTACGTAAGTGCATCGAGGAGGGCGGATATAATAATACTCGGCCCCCCTCCACCCCCGATTTCTACCTCCGTGGGCCGAACACGGAATGCGGCCCATCGCAATCGCGCCAATTTCCAACGGATTATCGCACCCGCGGACCGTGCGAACCGTAGGGATCGAGAGGTGTGCTCGATCGATCGATCGATCGAGTGGCACACGATGGATTCCGGAAGTCCATCGGCAACCCATCGATTCTCTACGATCGTTAGATCGTAGACACGACCATCGAGGAGCGGATGGATCACGTGTTTTAGTTATCGTTCTACGACGCGAGATCTTCGATGTTTTTCGAGGTTAGCGTTCGTGCATAAATGGAACGAGGAGCAGGCACGCTTGTGCTGCCCCGGCGGGAAAATTAAGACGGAGAGGGAGAAGGGAAGTCGAAGGATCGAGGAGAGAAGGTAATGACAGATTCTTCAGAGGGAGTGAGAATAGATTTTGGAATAGGTTAGTTGAGGTTAGAAAAAAAAATAATAATGAAGATAATAGGAATAGTGAATGAGAGAGAGAGAGAGAGAGAGAGAGAGATTAATTAATTATCGTTACGCAAGAGAATGATTCAACGTATAAGAGCGATTGTGGAAATTGTTTCTTTTTTCTTTTTGCGAGTTTTATGTTATCTATGTTTGTTGATTAATTATAATAGTTTTGAAAGTATTCTCCTTTATAGTTAAATTTTGACGGGAAGATTCAATCTTTCTTATCTATCTCGTTTCTTAAACTTTTTTTTAAAGTTGGGATCGAAAAGATTAAAATTACGTTGAATACGTAATTTTTGTTGAGAGGTGACGGTGAAAAGTGCGTTTAGATCTAATGAAATTACACGCGATTTATTAGATAGTATCGGCAATTTCAAAAACACGTTTCATAAGAGGAAGTTTAATCGAAATACGCATGTATTACCAGCACGCAATTTTTGAATGTTGCTTGGTAATATTGTGGCGTGTTTACATAACACAGGTTTGCCACTGCTCGTTTGACAGGTTTAAATTCTCCTAACGTTATCTTTTTTTTTTTTTATTTGAAAGATACATCACACTTTGGAAGTAGTTTCCGTCAACAGTGACCGTTGGATTTAAACATAGACGTGACTCATTGCACGTCAAGTTGAAGAGAATCGATTAAAAATAATCGTACGTATATGATTAGCAATCATATTTGACGAAATATATTAACCATCTTGACGAATTAATTTTTTACTTTCAGATTTCGAAACAGATTTCACAATTTTTCAATTTTTCGATTTCCTTTCATATATTTGCATATACTCGTTTCCAAATATTCAAATTTTCACAATTTCCTAATTCTCAAATATTCGTTTCTTTTTCTTTCAATATTCCCGAGTCACAAATCTAAAATTCGTCATAATTCGACTTACAATCCCTTCATCCCTATTTCTCCAAAATAGCAAATTCAATCGGTTGTCCAAAAATTTTCTTCATCTATTCTTTATTACTCGTCCACCAATCCCAAATTCGGCTTCGATCTTCCTCCCTATCGACCTCGTTCCCCGAAACGAAAGTCCATTAACCAAGAAAACGGCACGGCCGTAACTACGCGAAAATCCTTCACGCGACGCGAAGATAGACACGCACGATGCATCGATCGTCCACCATCGAAACAACGTTATTCCCTCTCTCTCCAATACTCCTATCTCTCTTCCAACGTAAAACATTTTCCTTTGAAAGAAAGAAACAAAAAACAAAAAAAAAAAAAAAAAAAAAAAAAAAAAAAAAAAAAGAAAGAAACTTCAAAGAGAGAACGAAAACCAAAGAAGCAAAAATAAAAAGAGGGGAGGGGGAAAGTAGAATCTTTTCTGAATCACGGATATCGGTGATAATACACATGGAATCCATGGGGAGCGTTTAACGCGCTCGAAAATGACCCGGGGATCCAACGAGAAGGAGGAGGAGGAGGAGAAGAAGGATCGTGGGTCAAAGAGGGTGAGGTGACGCAGAGGGGGTGGTAGCCTCGAAACTGGAGGAAGAATCGATAAAAACAAGGAGAGGAAAAGAAGAAAAAGGAGAAAAAGAAAAAAGAAGAAGAAAAAAAAGATCGGTGGTTGGTCGGGTGCGGCGATAAAAAATTTATTCGACGATCGGTGGCGGTGGTGGTGTCGCGATCGTGGGGAAAAAAACGGAGGGGGGAGGGGTTGAAAAAAGAGGAAAAGGAAGACGGATAGGCGGTGAT